TCTATGCAACCTCAACAACTATACCATCATATACCTACTCTAAAAGTCCTAATCATTCCTCAATCATACAACTTGTAACATGCCTAAAAATGACACAGAACCAAATGTCATATTCATCAACCAGCACGAGAGATCTCTAATTTCTTTGTAACACCCATACTAGATAAACAACTCATAATATTACTCAATTCAATTCTTATCTCTTCAAAACACATAATACAATCATCTCATACCTAAAACCTCAAAATTAAAGTCAATCATTCCTATTATTCCTTAATAGAATCACACATTCATTTTCTAGTTGTATAGCACTCAAATAATACCAATACTTGTCCTTAAGACACTACTCAAATCAAGAGCCTATAGAAACATCTGAGTACTTGACACACATCCCATCACTTAATCATCCTCGAATGTACGGTTTATGACACATCCTTTAGCCATCACCGCTAGTACTAAACGCCGGAAACATACCATCCCTAATCAGTAACTCGTGCCTCACACATCACTTGTCAAGAACATTCTCAGAACAAGTGCCACAAAACCAAAGACTCCACCTCCCTCCGTGGGAGTGAGTCGACCTATTCAACCAAACCTTTATCGGTGAACTCTAATAACAAAACAAACCACACACAGGTTCGTCCATCCACGGACGCACACAACTTCAAAATAGAGAACAAGGCATACGACAAACGAAGTCCTTGCTAGGACTAAAGCAAATGGAAAGGTAATGACCCCGCTCTCATAAGAGACTGACGACTCACACCTGAATCCACCCGATACCCTATCACACGCTACTTACCAATCGTCCTACCATGGACACCCAATCTCACCGGAGATGAAATAAACTCCCTATGTACTAGGAGAAGAACCAACTGGGAACACATATGAGACTACGTTCTCGATTCCAGGTGACCTCGCCACAACGGACCGTCACACACTATTAACACAGAAACCTTGCATACGGTACACTACGATACCCCTACTAACCAAAACCAATCAGGTAAGAGCACCCACACTTATGGCACACTAACACTAGAAACAATCACAGCCCTTCGGGCACCATGTCCCGTCCTATTTAGAATTAGTTAATCCCAACCGACAACCTCTACGCCATAAAACGACACTCTACCATTCACTTCATTTCCACCTACCCAGACGACACTGCCTCGATCACCGTGCACACAAGACACGTGATCTCAGTCACAATAACCCACTGACTCTTCAAAAGAAAAAAGATGCCTACATGGCAACAACTTCCTCTACTTCTAAAGACTAAGTTGACTACAATTGCCTCAATTAGCGCACAATCCCATCACCTACATGTCAGCACACAACAAACAACTCATAATCCCCGAACCATATTCAGATCATACCTTAAATCGTTCTGCTCATCATCACTAAACATCACACCTTAACACTTTCCCTACCACTAATCCAAATCAACAGTTCCAACCTATCATCCCACCAGACCATCAAGCCACTACCAAGCAATAGAATAAGCACCACTCTCGATACTCTCCGCAACGATCATTATTTACCACTAGGAAAAAACATCCATACGGCAATGTCATGCCGGCAAATCCTCAAAACAAAAATGAGCATAAAAACTAGAATGCTCAACACTTAACTGTTACCTCAAAACCATCAACGATGTAATCAATCACTAACGCTTAACCGGCTACTCAAACCACTATTTCAAAGGCAATCTACATGCCTAAACAATAAAACTTCACACCTTAGGTTCAACATCATTATCTCTACTCCGCACCATTCCTCAGAACACCTTTAGCCCCGACAAAGGTCGAATGGGGCTGCTAATTAAACCTATAAGATCAATCTTGTCCTAATCGTTCTTATCATCAGTCTACCTTTTCGGATCCTCAAACACTAAGTACTATCTCCTGATACGTCAGACACAACTTGGAATACAACTCCAGCCGACAACTTTCAACTTCCAAAACATAGTCCATTTGGTACCACAGTACTTACCATCAATCACTTCATTCGTAAATGACCGAGCACTTCAATGACCTCATATAACCTGCCTTATAGTGCAATCCTGATCTACACAACTAAAACTAACCACTATACACCACCCTAAGACTTTCTAGACAACCATGCCAACCTCTGACCCCGTTGCACCTATCATAAATCGGTTCGTAAAGAACCTCCACACCAAATCGTGACCTAATGTAATACCCCAAATTTTAAAAGGTTAGTCCTAGTATTTAATTAATTATTTTAATTATATTTTTGATTTGATTATTTGTTTATTTATTTATTTGCCTATTTATTTGACTTAATTGATGAGGTATGATTTAAATGAATTATTTTATTTAATTGTATTTTTATTTGTTCTTTAATTGAATTAATTGTATTTTTATTATTCTATAATTGAATTAATTGTATTTTTATTTTTTTTGTAATTGAATTAATTGTATTATTAGTTTTCTTTCATTAACGTAATTGTTTTAATTATATAAATGCGGTAAATGGATTACTATTAGGGTTTTGGTGTTTTGGCATAGTGTGTTAGCCGACTTATAGTTGGTTTAGAATTAGGATTAGGTTTATAGTGAAGCCTATATATACATCATTATACTTCGGTATAGGGTTACAAACAAACCCTATTCACGTAGTGGAAAGCAGAGAGAAACAGAGAGAAGGACTTGAGAGAAACAGAGAGTGAAGTTGAGAGATAAATAGAGGGGTTCAAGGAGGATGGGACGGAGTGCTTCTGGGTTGAACCAAGAGAAATAGAGGAGTGGAACGTCTATTTAGAAGGAGGTCTGAAAACTCAGAGACGGTGGCTTTGAGTTTCAAAACTGAAACTCAAAGCAAGTCTCTGTTCTACTCTTTCCCTTTAACCTGTGTTCTGTGCATGCCTAGGTAGACTCTAGGGATTAAACGATTGCTAAAAGACATCTCTTATGCATGTTTAAATGTTATTTAATTTAATTGAATTAATCTATTTTGAGTTGCTTAAAGTTTTTATCTGAAATTCTGCTGCCGTTGTAGTTAAAAGCTTATGTTCAATTCATGTCAAGATTGTATAACAATGGTTTAGAATTAATCTAGGATTGAGATTGAACCTTGGAAAAAGTGATAAAACAATACAGAGGGATTATGCATTTAGCCGGAGGTGAAGAAGACAACCGGAGATGGACTACGACTCTCAGAGGGAGAGAGCCGGCTCACTAGAAGAGGGAGTTGGCTCTAGGAATGAGAGAGCCGGCTCCACTAAGGGGTGGAGCAGGCTCTACAAGGTAGAGACGGCTCCCACAAAGGGGGGAGCTGGCTCCACCAAGGGGAGAGGCGGCTCCCTTGTTTTCGGAGGCAGCTCCCTCCTCTTTTCTTTGGTTTTTCGTGTTCTGGGTTTGTTTTGGTCAGTAGGGGTTTGTGTAAGTGATTTTAGTTGCTGTGAATGATGCATATATCTTTTACAGACATGTAAAAACTATTGGAAAGCATGTTAATATTAATATGTGGAAGTATGGAACCATATAAGGTTAAATAGTAATCTTGCATGTGGAAGGTTGGTAAATTAGTTTAACTTGCTTACTGAAATTTTTAGCGATTCGTATTTACATGATTTAATACTGTTAATCATGTTGCAGCACTGTAATGAGCATAGTTGATCATCTGAAAACACTTATTCCTAAATTGGAGCACTTGATGTTGTAATTTATATAAACTACATCAATCTATGGTCTGTTTGGAGGAGTTAAATGCATAGTCGTACTTTATTAATTTAAAGGACTGGAATGGGATTTCTAAATCTTATATTGGATGCATAATTTGGGCATACACATGTTAAGCTGTATTTATGCTTATTTTGGAGTATGCTTGATGAGTATTTATTACTTTTTTGTCAACTATGTTGAATGGAGGATTGTATGCACCGCTATGGGACGGTGGCATACTGGATATGGATTAGTTCAAACACAAATTCCTACCTAAACTGGATTGAGGCATGGATTAACCATAAAGGTTAGGTCCTACACATATTTATGTCATATAAATAAAGAATTGAATGACCTACTTTGGTTTTTGGATGGATTGTTATACATATATCAGGCCACTATATCGGTTGGATGATAGTTTGTATTAGGAGTATACGAACTTTATATATTTATGATATGGTGCCATGGTATGAGCTTGAGTCTCAGGACCATAGTTAGGGTGCGTATATTGCCTAGGATGGATAACTGGACATAAGTGTTGTTCCCTGGTAGGTCTAGATACACATGACCACATTATGTGCGATTTGCATGGTATCTCTACTCAGGATGAGACAGACCTATTGGACTAGCGAGTGTCCTATTGTGTGTACTTATACATATATGGACTACTTTAGGTATTGTTGAGCTATCTAGGATGCATTTGGGTATCGGGTTTCTGTATGGATCTTAGTAAAATAGGACTTGCATGTGGGCTTGACTCACACTCTTATTTTTCAGGTGCTCATCAGTTCCAGGGTTAGAGCTTGGTCGTGCAAAGTAGATACAGACATTCATTCCTTCAACCACGTAGGACTACTTCTTTATTTAGCTTTGGATTTTGATTATAGTTATTTCCTTTCCAATTAGGGATTTTATTAGGGGTCCACTTAAGGGATTCCCGAGTTGTTAATTAATGGAGTTACTTTAGAGGTTTTGGATTAATGGTTTTTAACATTTTATTTTGAGGATTTTAAATTAGAATTCTTTTCTGTGTTATTATTTATTTCTTTTTAATTCAATTTGTATTCTGTGTTTGATTATATATTAATTGTTTGATGTCCCTCGGATCTGTGGTTGGACTTGATCACCCGTGGCTCTAGAATTAAGGGGTATCACAGTTGGTATCAGAGCATTCTAGGTTCAGTGTCTCTAGGATTCTATCGTATAAGACTTCTGCGTAGCGTACTCTATTGTTTAGAGCTTAAGTTTAGGATTCGTTGTATTCCTTTAAGGCTCGGTTTAATCGTATTGATGTCTGTCTTTCTGTGTTGACAGAATGGATAACGCAAAAACCAGACGGAATAATCATCGACGAAGGGAAGCGGCCAGCAGGCAGCTTCAGGAGGATGATGGTCAGTTCTATGGAGAGCAGGAGGACGTTCAGCAGGCTCAGGATCAGGGAGGAGATCTAGAGTATCCTCCTCACATCAACGACCTCATTGCTCGGGCTATAGAAGCTAGGGTAATAGCTGCACTTTGGAATCAGCCTCAGGTACAGCCGGCACCGTTACCAGCACTGGTTGTTTAGACTAATACTTAGGAGAAGGCTAGGAGTTCTTTCACAAAGGGGAGCCCACCTAAGTTCACAGGCTCCGCCGATGCAAGAGTAGCTCATCAGTAGAAGAAGGATATTGAGCAACATCTTTGTCTGGTTCAGTGCACGGAGGTTCAGAAGTAGATGCTTGCTACATTTAAGCTGGTCGGGGATGCACTACAGTGGTGGGAGTCAGTTACCACCGCAGAGGAGAGGATGGCATTGACTTATGCTTAGTTCAGTGCTCACTTTGACGAGAAGTATTTTCCTTATGCGGTCAGGGTAGCTATGAAGACTGAGTTCCTTAATCTGCAACAGGGGAACATGACAGTGGCAGAGTATGAGCAGCAGTTCACGCGCTTGTCTCTTTTTGCACTGGAAGAGGTGGATACAGAGGAGAAGAATCACAATAGTTTCATTAAGGGACTGATGTGGTCTATCAGGAGAGCTATTACAGGTCGTCCAGCCTATACTACTTACGCTCAGGTGGTAGACGCCGCTCTACAGCAGTATCAGTTGACCGTGGACTTCAAACAGCCAAGGGTGAGAAGCGGGGTGATAGAGACTCTGCTAATCAGTCAGTTGAGAAAGGGAATGGCAACAGACACTGACAGAATGACAAGGGCAAATTTAGGGACAACAGCATTGGAAGAAGCACAAGGGTGGTTCGGATGCTCACAAGGATAGGGCACCTATCCAGCGGCAGCAGAATGGGGTACCACAGGCAGGACATGGTCAGCCACAGGCTAACCGACAGAGAAGGCCATTTGGTACTTTCCAGGGTAGTTGCTACACTTGTGGAGAGTATGGTTATACTACCAGGCAGTATCTTAAAGCAGGACAGGGACAGGGACAACATGTGCAGCAGGGTCAAGGGGCGCCGGTACCTTTGCCCGCTCCACAGGTTCTACGGATTCAGGGACAGGCGTATCTAGCTTTACCAGCACTGCCACAGACTCAGGGATAGGCGCCACAGCAGTTGCATTATGGCAGGGTGTACAACCCCATACCGCAGGATATGCAGGCACCTCAGGCTGTTGAGGGTAAGTTTTCTATTCATGGTTTACCGGGATGTATTTTATTTGATACGGGTGCTACACACTCATTTGTATCTCAGTCTTTTGTTGTTTTATCTGGGATGACCACACGGGTATGCAGTAGACCTCAGGGTATTTCTACACTGTTAGGCAATACAGCCATTTTACATGAGAGTGATGGGCTTGTGACACTAGATATTGGTAGACTCAGATTTCTAGCCAATCTATTGGTTCTGGACATGTACACTTATGACGTGATACTTGGGATGGATTGGTTATTTCATTACCATGCCTAAGTTAATTGTTATTATAGGTCTGTTGTTTTTACCATATCTGGTCAGGATATGTACGTCTTCATTATGCCATGTCCTAACGGGGGCACTAGCATTTATTTGTTCCATATGGAGGAGGAAATGGAGGAGGGGACTACTGTATCATTGGATAGCATACCAATTGTACAGGACTTTTCGGATGTATTTTAGGAGATTCCGAGGTTGCCACCTAGTCGCGAGATCGATTTTGTGATTGACTTAGCTCCAGGCACTACGCTTATTGCTAGAGCACCATACAGGATGGCACCAGTAGAGATGAGAGAGTTGAGGGATCAGATTCAGCAATTACTCAGCCAGGTTTTATTTGTAGGAGTACGTCACCCTGGGGAGCGCTAGTTCTGTTTGTGAAGAAGAAGGATGGCTCACTTTGCCTATGTATAGATTATAGGGAGTTGAACAAGGTTATTATTTGTAACAAGTACCCTTTGCCCAGGATTGATGATCTTTTTGATCAGTTGAAGAGAGTTACATATTTCTCTAAGATTGATCTACGTTCTGGATATCATCAACTCCGAGTTAGGGAGCAAGATGTTCCAAGGACAGCGTTTCTCGCTAGATATGGATCTTATGAGTTCCGGGTGATGCCGTTCGGGTTGACTAATGCACCAGCGGTTTTCATGGATTTGATGAACAGGGTCTTCAGGGCTTACTTATATCAGTTTGTCATTATCTTCATTGATGATATTCTGATTTATTCTAAGTTAGAGGATAATCATGCAAGACATCTTCGTATAGTGTTACAGATGCTTCATGAACACCAGTTGTGTGCCAAGTTCGAGAAGTGTGAATTTTGGCAGCGGGAAGTGAAGTTTCTGGGTCATGTAGTGTCAGAAAGGGGAATAGCAGTAGATCCAGCCAAGGTTTCAGTAGTGGTTGAGTAGGGACAACCTATTTCACCTACTGAGATTCAAAGTTTCCTCAGATTGGCAGGATATTATCGACGGTTCATCCAGGGGTACTCCAAGATAGCCGGACCACTGACTCATTTGACTAAAAAGGGTGTACGGTTCGTGTGGGATGAACATTGTTAGAAAGCTTTTGATGAGCTGAAGACTAAGTTGACTTCTGCACTGGTTTTGTTTACCCCACAGAGCGGGATAGAGTATCTTGTCTACACAGATGCTTCTTTGCAGGGTCTTGGATGTGTTTTGATGCAGGATAAGCAACTGATTTCGTATGGATCTCGTAAGCTTAAGCCTCATGAGCTTAATTATCCAATACATGATTTGGAGTTGGCAGCAGTGGTCTTTGCCTTACGAATTTGGAGGCATTATCTGTTGGGCGAGTTCTTCAGATTATTTAGTGACCTAAGAGTTTGCAGTATTTGTTCATTCAGCGGGAGCTGAATATGAGACAGCGCAGATGGTTGGAGTTTGTGAAGGATTATCAATTCTCTATCCAGTACCATCCAGGGAAAGTGAATGTGGTGGCCGATGCACTCAGTCGCCGACCTGTTGGTAGTCTTTTTACTTTATTCACCACTGAGTAGAATGCTTTGAAAATAGTAGATGAGTTATTGGATACTTTCATGGCTTACATGGTAGTTACACCTGCTATTATTCACAAGGTTTTGAAAGCACAACTCACGGATCAGCAGTGCATTGACAGAGTTACAGAGATAGCTTCCGGGGAGGTTCCATTTTACTATGTTGGGACTGATGGAGGTTTGAGGTATAAGGGACGGTTGGTGGTACCTTTTGCTGATGATTTGAGGAAGGATATGATGACTGAGACTCACCACTCTAAGTTTTCTGTTCATCCAAGAGGCGACAAGATGTATCAGGATATGAAGTGGCAGTTTTGGTGGGCAGGTATGAAAAAGGACATTGCTATTTTTGTCTCTCAGTGTTGTACTTGTCAGATGGTCAAGATTGATTATCAGAGGCCGCCAAGAGCTCTACAGCCACTACCGATACCGGAATGGAAATAGGAGAGTATTTCTATGGATTTTGTGGAGGGATTGCCTAATTCATTTAAGGATCACAATTCCGTTTGGGTTATCATGGATAGATTGACTAAATCCGCTCATTTCTTGCCTATTCGCACTGACTTCACATTGGAGCAGTTGGCGAGACTTAACATTACAGAGATTGTGAAGTTGCATGGCATTCCGTTGTCTATTATATCAGACAGGGATTCGAGCTTTGTGTCAGGATTTTGGAAGAGTTTTTAGCAGGCTTTGGGTACAGAGTTGCATATTAGCACTGCTTATCATCCTCAGACTGATGGACAGACTGAGAGAGTTAATCAGATCATGGAGGATATGCTTCAGTCGTGTGTTCTTGACTTCATGGGCTACCGGGAGGATTATTTGCCACTTGTGGAGTTTGCACATAATAATAGTTTCCAGAAGACTATTGGGATGGCACCGTTTGAGGCATTATATGGCCGACCGTGTTTATCGCTTGTTTGTAGGATGGAGGTTGGAGAGAGCAGATTCTTGGGTCCAGAATTCATCAAGGATACTTTGGAGAAGATTGCTGTTATTAGGGATCACATGCGTATTGCCCAAAGTAGGAAGAAGAGTTATGCCGATCGTCGCACTTGTGCTTTGGAGTTTCAGGTTGGGGATCAGGTTCTGCTCAAAGTGTCTCCTATGAAAGGAGTAATGCGCTTTGGAAAGAAAGGGAAGTTGTCACCGCGATTTGTCGGTCCATTTATGATTACGGATCGAGTTGGAGCTGTCGCTTATCGGTTGGCACTTTCGGATAATTTGGATCGCATACACAACGTGTTTCATGTTTCCATGTTGCGGAAATTTCTACAAGATGAAGATCGGTATTAGCATATCGATGTTAGGGAGATTGAGTTGCAGCCGGATGTAACATATTTGGAGCCACCGTGTCGTATTATCGACCATCGGGATCAAATCCTTCGTAATAAAGTTATCCCTTTGGTACGTGTGATACCCCTCGAATTCGAGACACGGGTTGATCAGGCCCAGGCCCAAACCCGAGGGAAATATTTAACAATTAATACTTTAATGAACACAGAATATAAGACAAAATAATAAGAAGGATATAAAAATGGCTGAAAAGAACTCTAATTGAAAATTCTCAAAATAATGATATAACTATCCAAACTCCAAAACCTCCAATTAATTAACAACTCGGGAATCTATCTAGAGGATCCCTAATAAAAATCCCAACTGTAAAATGAAATAACTGAAATAAGATCCAAAGCTAATAAGTAAGCAGTCTTACGCAGTCGGTGGAATAGAAGTCTGTATCTGCTATGCACGACCAAACTTTAACCCTGGAACTGACGAGCACCTGAAAATAATAAAAGAGTGGGTCAGGCCCACATGCAAGTCCTGATCTACTACGATCCAAACAAGAATCCGATACGCAGATACATCTTAGATAGACTCAACAATATCTAGAGTAGTCCATATATGTATATATTACACACTATAGGACGCTCACTAGCCCAATATGTCTGTCTCAGCCTGAGTAGAGATACCATGTAAATCGCACATTATGTGGTAATGTGTACTTAGACCTACCAGGGAACTGCAACTACTGTCCAGCTATCCATCCTAGGTGATATATGCACTCTAACCATAGTCATGAGACTCAAGCTCATACCATGGCATCATAACATAAATATATAAAGTCCGTATCCTCCTAATATAGAATATCATCCATCCGATATAGTGGCTTGATATCTGCATAACAATTCATCCCAGAAATCCAAATAGGTCATTCAGTTATTTACTAACTTGACACTAACAGAAGTCGGACTTAACCTTTATTGTTAATCTGAACCTTAATCCATTTTAGGTAGGCTTAGTCTCTGAACTAATCCGTACCTAGTATGCCACCGTCCCATACCGGTGCATACTATCCTCCATTTACCATAGTTGACAAAACAGTTAAATAGTTATCAACCACATTCCAAAATAAGTACAAATACAATTTAATATGTATAAAACTGAATCATGCATCCAATAATAGATTTAGAAAACAAATCCCAGTCCTTTAACTTGATAGAATCCAACTATGAAATTTCCTCCTCCAAACAGTGTCGTAACAGATGAGATTTATAACAGATTTAACTGTCAGTTAATCCCAACTAAGCATACATGTAATTAAATAACAGCATGCTTATAACAGAGCTGGCAACATGATTTAAATACCTAAGAATATGCAGAGAAATCAAATTTGCAAATCAGTCTGCAATACTAGTCAGTTGCATAATTATCCACATATAGACCCTTGTTCAAACTTATGTTAATTCTGTCCTCAATTCCTGAATGTAAGTATGCTTCTCAGTTATTTTATAAGTCTTACACAATATATTAAATCACCCAGAAGCCTTCAAACAATTTTAGAACCCTCAGTCTCAGCCAAACAGACCATTAGAACTCAGTATACGTTATATTAAGAGAAAGACAAGGCTCTGAGTTTCAGAGAGCCTTCTCCAAACAAGGAGAGCCAGTTCCCCTTCCTTGGGAGCCGGCTCTAGATAGGTGAGAGCCGGCTCTCACCCCTAGAGAGCCGGCTCTTGTGTTTTGGGAGCAGGCTCCTTCCATTTTTGGAGCCTGCTCTCACCTTTAAGAGCCGTGGCTGCGTCTGCGTGTGTCTTCTCCGACTCCG